ACTAAAGAAAAATTCATCTCCTCAATTGTTCACGGCTTAATACAACAATTCAGTTCAGACAACATAAAGCCTTTTAACAATCAATAACGATCATAAATTGTGTAATAATTAAAACACCATCACGATTCACGATCTAGATTCTAGATCGACAAAACTAAACAAAAATTCGTCATCTCCTCAATTGTTCACGGCTTAAATACAACTTAATTTCTCGGAGTAGTAAGGTCTCTCCGTAAAGCCCGTGAAGTGCCCAGGAGACTTATGTGCTTCTGGAAGGAGCCAGACTGGCTAAATTAGCCAGGACTTCACGCACATCGGACCAATTATGAGTGAAGCGAAGTGCGGAAACTGAGTCCACCAACCTTAAATCTTAACCCTTAATCCCCCAAACTTATGAAACACATTACCAAATGGAATCTGGTTTACAATGATAAAAAATTAATAATTTATGATTACCATGGGGTCAACACATTCTGACAACTCAGGCAGACTAGCCAGATATTTACGCAATCATTAGTGGCACACATATTTGTCTTACTTCTATCAAATCCTGATTCTCGCTAGTATCAAGATCTATAGATAGATAGTTCACTCTAGGCGGACACTTGTAACAGCCAAATAATAATTGAAACGGACTCTCACCCGTACTTTTCGAAACAGTACAATTTAAAGCTAATTAAACTTTACCGATTACAGATTTCCAAGACCTGTTTTCATGATGTTCAGCGACTGTAAAACAATTAGTTAAAACGGACATTAGGCGCTCTACTTGCCCGTTACCACGACAGACGCCACTGGCGATTTCATTTTCATTACATTCAATAGACCATTCTTTACAAAGTTTTTAAAAATCTTGTCTCATGAATAAGGTGCCCTGATCTGATATAATACGCTTAGGTGTTCCGAACATATGGACAAAGCTTTTAAGGGCTTCGCAAATAGATTTCGAAGTTAAATCTATGACAGAAGTTGGGTGACAAAACTTTATGAATGCGTAATGACAATCACATATTCTTTTGTGATCCTACCACCAATTAATTTTCCACTCGTGACCATTGGAGTTAAGTTCCCGATAATCAACGCAAAGACGGTCGGACCCGTCTTTCTTCTTAACAAGAAATGCAGGGCTAGAAAAAGGCGAAGAGCTCGCACGGTCTTTTCGTTCCAAATCAGTAATAATCTCACGCATTACGCTACGTTCAGGAGCCAACCTTTACGGATGACGTTTTACAATTTTGTTAAGATATTTTTAGATGAATTTGTTACGTAATTTGTATTAACGATTTCTTTATATTTTGTCACAATAGCCCTTAGTCTTTCAATATCGTTACGCTCAGTTAAGTCGGTGCAAATTTTACCCAACTCTCTACTTATGCTTAAAGCACGACACGCATTGACACTAGCATCACGTAAAATCTTAGCGCCGTCGCTATTAAGGGTAAACATCAAACCGGGTGTTTTAAATATCTCTCTACCTAAGATTACGTCATACTGCAGCAAATGTGAATCAACAATGACAAACGTTATTTCGGTATGGAACCCCCTACAAACTTCTTTTTAATCAGGGAACATCCTGAACCACTGTCAATCAGTGCTTGCAAAGTATAACTGCCTTATGCAAATTTTGATTAGAGGATATACAAACGTTGACCAATTTTGATTGTAAATTGCAATCTTTAAATTTTTATTCTCGTTAAATAAAATAAATAAATCAATGGCGCCACAGCCTACAGGCCTTCAGGCCTCAGATTCCTGAACCCGCCCCATGATCAGTTACATTATAAAACAAATAAAATTAGAATGTCCAAGTTTGTGGAAATATGAACATCGCGTTCTACTAACTATTGGCTGTTCACTAGATTTATCAACAGACGTGCGAGGGTGGGTACCCTCATTTTTATTTTTATACGTAAAAATAAACAATGTCGTTTTAAATGTCCTACCTAATCAAAAAAATGGCAACGACCTGTAGTTAACTCGCATATTTTAGGGTGCTTAGAAGCATTATATTCACCACGGACCTCACATATGAATTTCACTTAAGGTTTAATGTTAGTTAGTTAAATGTGACACAAAACTCTTCGGAGTATTTTTTAAGTAAATCTGTGCGTACCTTAACATCACAGTTTTATTGGACTCACCCAAACTTGTCTCCAGCCGGTCGATCAGCACCATTTTGTTGGTGGAATACCTATTCAATGTAGGTCACCGCGTGGTCACTCGAATAGTCGACCATATCGCGAAACAAGTCGTGAAACGTCCTTATTCCAACACACTGAAGAGCAAGTCGGTCCTTAAACTCTTCCCATGTACGAACACAACACACCACACACACCACACCCACAACGGGTACGAACATGGAGCCCACGACAACAACAGAACAAACGACGGTAGATAAATCTCACTTGATTTTAGCGTCCTTTTATCACCCACACTCGAAGGCTTCTCTTTGGTATTCTGGAAGCCAGCCATCATATTTTGAAATAATGCTGCCCATAATTCAGGCGTCAACGTGCTGGGTCCGTCGTCTTTTGACGTCGATGGACCCGCCGCTCTATTTCCTTGAGCTTCATAATCTGGTGTGAAATATTCACAATTTCCAGTAGCAGGCATTGCGGTAGGCACGCAGGATGAATTTTGTATCGATCCCACTTCTGATGTCGGAGATTCGACAAGATTAATAATTACAAAGTTGGTATCACTACCGTCGTCGTACATTATTACTTAATTACTTAATATTTAAACACAGTCAGTGCGCACATCCGGCGCAGGCGCCGATCGGAAAGCAACTCAAGCTCTTCACGACCGATTCTACGCACTACTGACAGCTCGACTTTGACAATTGACACTTTACAACCAAGATGTCTATGATATTGCGTGGTGTTGCCATTACGTGGTGTTGCCATTGTAATCAAACAAATTACACCGTGTTCTATTATAACCTAATCTCTGACATATATATGAAGATATCTACAACAACATCATTCAAGATACGAATTTTATACATCGACTTTTGCTTTCACCTGAAAATTTAAATGATTGTTTGCCGACTTTATGGGCAAGTCATATATCTAGAGCGCGGGATAAAAGATGGACAATTAAAACAACAAAATGGACTGGACCTACTGGATGTATATGACAATAAAAGAAATGATGGCCTTAACAGTAGTGTATGTAGAAAGTGGAAAACTAAATTTGTATGAAAATTTATCTTATATGAATATATGAATTGTATCTTATGCCATCTGTCCATTTTTTTATTTTATCGTCCCATCCATCTTTTATTTTATCGGACAAAGTGAAATCAGAAAATATGGATAAGATAAGTAAACTAAACAATAATTAATAAGGCCTTAATAATAACAATAATTTGATGGCTTTTTTCCATTTAATTAAGATTACTTATCTTAATTTAACAAAGAATATTAAATTGAAATAAGAGAAAACCTTTAAATAATATATATATATATATAAATAGACGGAAAAATACTTGAACGAAAACCTAAAGAAAAATATCTCGGACTTATTTTGGATAGTAACCTAACTTGGAAGCCACATCTAGAAAAAATTAAACTTAAACTAACACCACTCACAGGGGCACTGCGAAACATAACAAATTGTCTCCCTCAAAAAGTGCGGTATCTGATCTATAATTCTCTGGTTAAGCCGCATGTCGACTACCTCATTGAGGTTTGGGGTACTGCAGCGAAGAGTAATTTGGATCCTATCCAAAGAACTCTGAATAGATTGATTAAAAACTTATTTAACTATAAATTTCGGACTCCTACTGAAAGGATATACGAGGAAACAAAATTAATGAACATTAAACAAACGTACATATATTACACTTGTATTCTAATACGCAAAATATTAAATAGGGAAATTAATTCTAATATAAAATTTTTAACCAAACAACAAACACGAAACATTAACTTAAGACGTGCTAGTTACTTGGTGACCCGCCCTCCTAGAACTAACTATGGAAAAAGAAGTTTGGAGTATGAGGGTGTTACAATTTATAATAAGTTACCATCAGTTATAAAAGCAGAACAAAATTATGCCCGATTTAAAAAGCTTCTAAAAACTTAGACATTAATTACATACAAATAAGTGATCAAAATATAATATGTATATTTATATATATATATATATATATATATCGACAAGAATGCGATAACACTTGAAATGTATAATGTTTAAGAACTTTAAACTAACACCACTCACGGTGTTAAAGAATTGTATTTGATATTGACCAAAATCTGCCTATAGGTGATTTTAATTTGTAAAAATGTTTTATAAACCTTGTACATACCCTAAATATATAAATATAGGAATAAACTAAAAATAAAATAGTCTTATGAAAAATAATAAAATAATCAATATAAACTTGTTATATCAGACTATGCCATCAATGCCACATCTAGAAAAAAATTAAATTCTAACATCCGTGTTTCGCTTGGTTGACTGACCAAGTTTTTTATGTCTACCCACATTTTTGGTGCTGTTCTGTATTCTTATTTTATATATGTACCTACATCTGTGCGCTCTAATTTTAATCTTAGTTTTAAATATGTGTTTCTCAGTAAGTGAATTTTCAATTCTTATGAGAAATAAAGTTATTCTTAAACCTAATAAGGTAATAAGCTAAATTAACAGTAAAATATTTTGGTTACATTTGATACATTAACAAAACAGATTGACAATGACATTAGTTTATGGTTAATAGTTTCATGTAAGAAGTTTACATCAATACACAACTGAAATATTCCGCTGCCGTCCGCCATCTTGTCTATCAATGGATCCCGACTTTTTCGGTGAAACAATATTTGAATACTACTTAAATTGAGAGGCGTTTATCAATAGTGGTCTTGAAACACTTTCGTAAGGTAAAATCCTGCTTTCGCAACAGTGATTAAAATTTATCACTTCATGGCCGTCTTTATACGATAAATAGGTAATCCATAAATCTTTCCTCAGTTAAAGTGTTAACAAATTAAACAATGAAGATTCTGTTTTTAATATTATTCACGTCTGCTACACGCGGTATGTTCTAATTTAGCTGATATTATTTAATGAGAATTATAGTACAAAGTTTATGGTTATAATGGAATGATAATATGATCACATTTCGGTCGGTAGGATCAGTCATTCGATTGACATTAGTAGGTCACGCTGATTGCAAAATATTTTTGTCTAGGGCCCATCTTATTTTTTTCTTTTATTGAATATTTATGCCCAACCCAAAGAGCCAAGTCCTATTTTTGTGTATTGTTCGCGTCTATATTCACTGGTTCTTCAAATGTATTTTTGAAGTTATTTAACACTTTTTGTTTGTGATCAAATCATACATATGTCGGTGCGAACTATCAACTTTCATTATTTCTATTTTAATACTAGTCTATGAAAAATGAACATTTGGTTTCGACTTTTGAAGAAAATATGGTTTTATCTGTCACCCATGTGCATAGACAATTTTTTTTTAATTTTCTTTTTATTCATTTTTATTTATTACTATGTATGTTAAGCAAATTGTAAATACTGTATATTAACTGATTGATATCCTGTTTTGATTTTAAGTTTGCGCTGTGGTCTGTAACTACAAATGGCTATTCCAATTTTAATGTTGCAGAGTAAATATTTATTCTCTCTCTCTATTTGCACATATATATAGGGTCGTTATTATGAATTCGAATTTCACTTGAATAAATTAATTAATTTTTAGCAACAACAGATGTCGAAAAGTTTTTGAGTCCTAATGCAGTTATGCGCCAACTCTTTGAAATATTCAGAAATGCTATAAAAAATGGAAGCAAAGAAAACAACGTGCCTGTTTTGGACCCTTTCGTGAATTTACAAAATGAATTTAATATAGATCACCCGAATATGAGGTAAAATGGATTTGAGAACATACCTAATATTATAATATTTAAAAAATTAAAGTTTGTTAAACAGTAATTATTTATATATGAATGTGACAATTTCCTAGAGATTATATATATAGAAATAGATAATATTTGACAATTGATACTTCAACCCTATATGAATCTCGGCCTCAGGGGGCTTAGACAAATTGCCTTAACAGTAGTGTATGTAGAAAGACGAAAACTAAATTGGTCGACACGTCACACGAACTGTCATTTTCATACAATTAATTAAGTTTTCAACTATTGATCGCACCTATTTCTTATCTATTGTCATTTATAGACAATACTCAGATCAACAATCACTTAACACTTAAAAAATTCATTGGTATACAGACTACCACCTCATCAGTGTTGATGTTAAAGTCTAAAATCCTTATTGAGGCGGAACGAAAAATGGCGCAAAAATGTTATATTTCATTTGACACTTTGCAATTGCAATCAAAAACTATAAACCTATCTTTGTCTTTCAGGTTGTTCGCCAATTTAACTAATAGTGTTTATAGTGGATTGGGAGATTTTCAGCTAAAAAAAATATTTTTTTTAAAGGAAGAACTCGCAGTAGATTTAACATTACTTTTCCCAAAATTAATTATGGAGTCAGGTATATTGATAAATATTTTTGAATTTATCTTAAGATCGCGTTATAACGTAAATCCAAGAAGGATATCACTGAGGATATCCATTGCAATATTTTATCTGTGGCGCTGCACGCTAGCACAAACACGGTGATATGGTTTTGAATTTTGGCGCCATTCGTGCATTTTGTATAAAGTAGCGGTTTGAGTTAATTGTCTATTAAATTAGTATTTTTCTACACCGCGAGATTGTATTGCTAAATAAAATGTCTAAGTAATCGAATGGCAAATAATATAATTTTTTTTTTAACTAGAACACTAACGTTATCCTGTCTTAAAGGTTTGGCATAAATTTATTGTGACTGAAAAAAATACTAAAATATTGGTTATATTCCAGATAACTATCAAATGAAAGGATATATTTTTGGCCTGCCTCTTTTTGGTCAGGGTAGACTAAGGTTGGTTGATTAGTATATATAATAGTTGATTAAATAATATAATAATATTCCATATCCAAATAATAGTCACAAGTATTTGATTTTAAACAAATGCTATTTAAATTTTAAAATACCTTCGCAACAAAATAATGGTCAAGAACGCACTTAAATTAACGTATATATTCAAGTATTGGGTTGATAATCTGTGGAACTTGTCATGCCGATTTTTAATCTTTTAAAACTATATATTTATGTGCGAAATTAGGCCTAAAGGTCTAGATACCAGGCCATAAACTCCAAAAAAAAAAAAATGTGCGAAATTTTTCTTGAACCCTTTTGACAATTCGTTTGTTTTTAGGTTTGAGGTAAAAGACTTAGAAATAAAGAGTAAAATTCATTTAACACTATCTGAAAATGGAATAGCGACGTTGATTGAGAAGTTTGAAAATCCACAGTTCAGCGTTCGAAAAATACTTGTAAGTGTTTTAACTCCACCGAATTATTCTACCGAAGTACGAAGTAAAGGCCACTCGCCTTTGAAAAAGGCGGTTTTTAACCATAATCTGATTTTGCTGCTGCCGCGGGCGGCTTTTAATTTGTCATTAGCATTATTGAATCATCCTTGTCGAAGTGGCGTGTGGACGCCAACATCATGCATTGGGCTATGGTAAGGAGCTTCAGGTCGTGGTGTACGGAACTGCTTTGCGTGTTGTTCCCACGAGAATGTAAGTGCGTGCTCCTATTTCACCATATTTAAGAAGTCATGTTGAACATGGTATAGTGGTTGCAGCTCCTTACAAACGTTGTGTAAAACAAAAAACTTGACGATTAAAAAGAGTGGTGGAGAGTTTATTGCCAGTTCTTCTCTTCCGATCTACGCCCTTGATTTGAGAACTGACAGTAAATGTAAAATTAGAAGCATTTAATGTATATTTCTTTTTTGACGTTCATAAGTGTGCATTGACTTTGACCGCTATCGAGCGTCGCGGCGGGAATAACTTCGTTACCGCCTTTCATCGCAGTGATTTGTAGATGTCACAAATAACGTTAACGTCTTTCTTTGTAGATACATTACCCCCTACAACCTCAAAAACTTTACGTCTTTCTAATATTAGTATAGATTTTTGATGTTTTTTAACAATTATATAAAATCCTTAGACAAATTTGGACATGTTGACAGATATTGGAAACTTCTAGCATAAATGATTGGATTTCAAAGATAAATTATTATATTTTTTTATAGACAATTGTCAGATGATCGTCTGTGCCTGCCACATGTCAAAAACGGCGACAAAGGACTGTGTGTGCCATGCAAATCTTGTTATAAAATTTCAAATAACTATCGTCTTATCAGAAACTAGCCCTGAATGAATAAGATAGAAATCTCAAAGTCAAACACTGATTATATTATAATCAAAGTAAAAATCTTTTGATAAGTAATAATCATCAAATAACAATTCCTAAATAAAAATTACAGAGATAAAGTAGCATACCTATAAAAAATATCCCTATAGAACCGCTGCAGTAGACACAGAAATATGTCTGCCGGGACACCAATTTTCGGTTCAGCAGTCGGTTGACATAAAGCTCTCAGCGCAATTATTATTGCCATATTAGAAATATAATTATGCTTATTATTTTCAGTCGAACACGGAATTTGATGAAAACATTGACTGTATAATTAACAAGATCGTAAAGGACGTCCTAGCAACATATATAACTCGATTCAACAAATATATTATACACACATATTCTGAAACTATTAAACATTTTATAAATGTGTTTCTCGATAGATTTGACACTTGGAGAATTATATCGTCTTTACTATAATATATTATTAAAACTATTGTTTTTTTTTTAAACCTTGTTTAATCTATATTTGTGGCTAAAAGGGACGTATACCAACTCTATGTGGAACAAACTGCCCACTGATTTCTGAACCAAATTGACTTAGGGTCCTACAAGAAAAGACTGTATCAATTCTTAAAAATCTCATTGAAAATTTCTATGGACAGCGGTATGACTTAACATCAAGTGAGCCTCCTGCCCGTTTGGCTCCTGTAACATAAAAAAACGTACGTGCGTACAAAGTACACATGTCAGAAGTGAATCTTCTTTGTAAATTAATTATTATTAAGGCAAAAGCCCCAATAGATGATTATGTACCAGTACATGATCACTCCATGTATTTGTATATCGATATTCACACTGTTAACACACTGTATACGTACTAATGATAATATAAATAAATAAAAATACTGCGTTTACTGCACAAGACGTTATGCGACCGAATTGCCATCTAGAGTTCTAATATGTAACTACTAAACTAAACGAATACATCAACCAATAGCGTGTATTCTTTCTCGATCTTCCTTACTCTCTTTCTCAATATTTCACATTATAGCTCTTTCCCACCTCTCGCTCCATGGCACTGTGCGCGATGCGACCGTCGCTCTATCTCACTCTCGATTTTTCTCACTTGCTTACTCCCTTACTCTCGCTCCATAGCTATTTGCTTCATGCTAAATTCGCCCTTTCTCACTCTCTCTCAATCGGTCTCAATCGCTCTCTCCCTTTTCTTCGACAAAAACGCTCACATCTTGAGTTTCATCCGTAAAAATATTACCCTCATGCGCCTAAAGAAGGCACATACACAAGGGTGGATACAGAGGGCGGGTCATGCAAATGATAATCCCCGTGGAGCCTGGACTTGACAGAAACTGGAAATGTATTGTAAAAAACTAATTACGTGGGTATGATCTTCTAAAAAAAATTAGTTTCTAAGTGCTTTATACAAAAATCACCGCTATCACTAGGCCTCAGATTTCTGTCTCATCATCGAAAGAGGAGTCTATACGCCAGTAGGTGCCTACACACGCATTTGGTTTTTAGCTCTAAGACCGGCCACTATGTTTCCGTTCGAGCGAGTGTTCTTCTATTACGGCCTGGCCACGGGGATCGGCGGTGCGAACGGCGATGCGGGAGGCGAGGCGACCATTCGCGCGGGGCCGTTTGCAGGCCACGGACCAGTCACGTTTGCCGCCGCGACCAGTAAGGAAGTTCGACAGCGAAATGTCTTTATCGAAATCATCTCGATATTGCTTGGAAAGTAATAGCTTTTGGTGCAAGACCTAATATTTGGAGAAATTGTGGAGAATTCCACAAGAAGTATGAGAAATTCAGAATATATCCTGAATTATTTTTTTGAGTATACCAGAATGAGTATTGAAACCTTCAATTATATTCTTATGAATATTCAACCAGAATTGGAGAAAAAAATTAATGCAAATAGAATTTTAAGTGCCGCTGAAAAATTGTTTTTGAGATTAAGGTATATTAAATTAATGCTGTGGATGACCAGACTTCCAAATAGCTGGTCTAGCCAGTATTTCTGTCCAAACGTAATAATATGTACATAAATATTGTATTTAGTTCTGATATTCACCAACGGATGGCGCTGTGCGATTTCTGCATTATGCTGAATCGCGCTATCGTTATATGTGGTTTTTAGTATAAGGTTTAAGATATTTTTTGAATAAATTGTCTTCGTCCTGGAATCGTGGAGTTTTGTTCATGGTCATTCGTAGCCGGATACAGCAGTGATTGGAAACCCTCGTGTTAGTGTAAAGTGTTAGTGTATAAAAAGTGTAAAATAAGTGATTGTGGTGTGTGTAAGTGTAAAGGTGACTAAAACTGTAAGTACTTTAAAACTTTGCCTAACAAATTCGAACTCTAATAAGTCTGGTAAAATAACTTAGAAAAATTAAGGCAAAAGTGGTTAAGACGGGGAATCCATGTCCAATTTTGCCTAAGTCGAAGTTATTACACCAAACACATAGAAAAATTAACATAAGGCATGGACTTGTAAAATAATTAAGGCAAAGGTGGTTGAGACGGGAATCCATGCCCGATTTTGCCTAAGTCGAAATTATTAGGTACACCAAACACTTAGAAAAATTTGCGATTTGGAACTTGGAAATTTTACAAGTGTAACTTATAAACACTTAGCGATCAAAATGGAATCACTTATTAGAGTACAGAAAGATATCAACAAAACATTAAAAAGGGCTTATACAAATTTTAAGAAAACACCAAAAGATAGAATTACAGTAAGTTATTTGGAAACCAGATTGGAACAATTAGAAAAACAATGGTCAACATTTGAAGAGACACACAATAAATTAATATGTAACTATGGTGAGGAAGATTATGATGAATCGGAGTATAACTTGAAAGATGTATATGGAGAGACGGAAGATTTATATAGTGAATACAAAATTGATATAAAGGAAAAACTTACTAAATTTAAAAACAGCCCTATAGTTACGAGTGATGTAGTAAGCAACATTAACAGTGAAGTAAAATTACCTAGAATAACAATACCTACTTTTTCTGGCCACTATTCACAATGGACCACGTTTCGTGACCTGTTTAAGTCATTGATACACAGCAACAAATCGTTGCAAGCAGTGCAAAAGTTGCATTACCTAAAAAGTTACCTGACTGGTGAAGCCGAGCAGTTACTACGACATCTGCCGGTTACAAGTGAAAATTATGAACTATGTTGGAGTATGTTAGAACAACGTTTTAATAATAAGAAATTTATTACAAATAGTATTTTAAAAGATTTTTTTTTCAAAAGAATATTGTTTCCGAATCTTCTAATGCTGTTAAGGAATTACTAGACACCACAAATGAATGTTTAAATGCATTGAAAAATATAGGAATAGTAACTGACAATTGGGATGTTATTGTTTTATATATTTTAAGTTCAAAATTAGATACTAAGTCTAGAGAGTTATGGGAAACTAAAATTTGTAATTTAACAGATGAATTGCCAACATTAAATCAGTTTTTTGAATTTTTAGAGCAAAGGTTTAGGTCACTTGAATTTTTAATAAACAAACCAGTCAAATGCACTCAATCTCATCATGTAACTTTTAAGGAAAAATCGAATTGTGTCTTTTGTTCAGATAGTACGCATAAATTAGGAAATTGTAAGAAATTTGCTAAGGGTAACCTTAAAACACGTCGTGAGTTTGTTCAAAGTTCCGCCTTATGCTTCAACTGTTTAGGTGCTAATCATTCGGTTGAGTCGTGTCGTTTGCCCACCAGGTGTAAGATTTGCAAACGAAAACACCATTCACTTTTGCATTACAACGCTAGTGTATCAACAGATAATGTATCAGCTAACAACCAATCACCAGGAGATATCAATGTTGTTGCAATGGCAACAACATCGAGACCAGACGAGACCAACATTGAAAATATTACCACTTGTTTTACTAATACCAGAAAACAAGTTCTATTGGCAACAGCCCTCGTAAGGGCCAACAATAATTCTGGATCAAGTATGACACTGCGAGCCTTATTAGATCAGGGCTCACAGGCTTCATTTATTACGGAGTCTGCAGTCCAGTTGCTGGGGCTAAAGAAAATCAAAAGCAACAGTGTCATATCTGGAGTTGGAGGTGACGGCAATGCCCCACTTGATTCCAAGTATGTAGTTCAGATTAATCTGCAATCAATTCAAGATGAATCATTTACTATTTGTGTAACAGCTCATGTTCTTAAAAAACTAACCTCATTCCTCTCTGTAAAGGAATTCGTTGTACATCTGTGGCCAAATCTACCAAGGATGAAGTTAGCAGATCCAAATTTCAACAAACCAAGTCATATTGATATGTTGCTTGGTGCTGATGTCTATTGTCAAATCATAGCTGAGGGTCTAATGAGAGGACCACCAGGAACACCAATAGCTCAGAACACTAGGCTAGGTTGGATCTTATCTGGAAAAATCGAGAACGATCATCACGACCAACATGGTTTGGGTTGCGAAAACATATTAACAATGCACACTCAAATTAACAATTATGATTTTAACCTTAAACAATTTTGGGAACTTGAGTCTGATAACTTTAACCTTAAAAGAACTCACCTCACTCATGAAGAACAAAGATGTGAAGACATCTATAAAGAAACCACGAAGCGAGATCCATCAGGAAGTTATATCGTTAAACTCCCATTCAGAGATGTCGATCCGAGCTGCAAATATGGTAATTCACGTGAGATAGCAATTAAACGATTCTTAATGTTAGAAAAGCGTTTATTGAAATCACCAGATTTAAAGAAATCATATACAGATGTAATATCAGAGTATTTGAAGTTAGGACATATGGAGTTAGTACCTATAGAAGAAATTGATAAAAAAGAAACGGTTTACTTACCTCATCACGCGGTCGTTAGAGCTGATAAATCGACGACTAAACTCAGAGTTGTTTTCGATGCATCCTGTCGAGACCAAAACGGTGTATCACTGAATAGTGATTTGATGGTCGGACCGTCGCTACAGCCTGACTTACGTCACATTGTTTTAAGATGGAGGCGACATCCTATTTGTTTGGTTGCCGACATAATCAAAATGTACCGTCAAGTGAGGGTAACAAGAGAAGATGTAGACTATCAACGTTTAGTGTGGCGCACAGACACTACAGAAGATTTACAGCATCTTCGCCTTTTACGTGTCACTTTTGGTACTGCGTCTGCTCCTTACCTTGCAGTTCGAACTTTGCAGCAGGTAGCACACGATGAAGGAGGAGAGTACCCCGTCGCATCTGAAAAAATCTTAAAGGATTTTTACATGGATGATTTGCTTACTGGGTGTGAATCAGTTTCAGAAGGAAAGCAATTATTTAACGATATTACCAACCTACTTAAGACAGGCGGCTTCGAACTCCAAAAGTGGTCAAGCAATGATGAAAATCTGCTAAAGGAAATAAATAAAGAAGATTTAGACTTAGATATTAATGTAGAACTGAAATCAAATGAAA